CACATATATATATATTTGTATTCATAAGTGAAAGTATTTTATTACAATATTTATTTTTTTTATCATATTAATCATATGATATATTTATGATATATTTATATATGATATATAGAAGAATATATAATCACTATTAATAGAATTATATAATAATATTATTATAGATAGATTCGGCGTAGCACAGCGAACATGTCCGCGCCCCTTCACGTCCGCGCGAACGTGTTTGCACGTTCGCGCGAACAACTTTCGAATATGTTCAGACGAACGTAATTGACTTTCCGTAATATATATATATATATATACAGGGTAACCAGCGTTCAGAACGGGTCGAACACCCGAACGTGTGGGACCCCTTGGGGATGCGTTCGGTCGTTCGGGCCAAATGCGGACCCAAAAAAAAAAACAATATGAAAAAAAATGTATGTTATGAAGAAAAATAAATTAAACAAGATTTGCCCCAGCATTACATCTAAATTCCTTACGAAATTTAAAATTAAAAATTAATACGGAGAAAAAATATTAATACAAATAATAATAATAATAATAATAATAATAAAGAATTAAATTTACTGAGTGCGCGACCGCTTTTACGACACCACCATTTTTGACAATTTTTCATTTTGTTTTGGCATAGCTAAATGCCCTGAAAATTTACATATGTGTACTTCACATCATGCAAAACCCACTAGAAAAGTTAAAGAAAATAATAAAATTGTAAAGACCCCAAACTAAAGTGAAAATAAAAAGTAAAAAGTGAAAAAAAACGTGGGCGAGCACCGCCATATTTGGCGATTTGTAATTCCTATTTGGCTGAGCCAAGTGACTTGAAAATTTATAGGCAGGTACCTCACGTCTTAGAGAACTCACAAAACAAAATTCAGAAAAAAAACATTAGTTTTAGGCCCCGAAATAAGTTTTGGCGGGGCCCGAACGCCACCAGGTTCGGACCCCGTACGGGACCCCGAACGCCCATACATACGGAGGTCGGCCCGGGGACCTCCGTACGTACGGGCTGGTGACCTTGTATATATATATATATATATATATGTGACGATATATATATATATATATATATATATCGTCACAAACAGAACTGCCCGGTTGCCAGGCCGAACGTACGGGGGCCCCTAAGCTGACCCCCGAACGTTCGGGCGTTCGGGTCCCCGTACGAGGCCCGAACTTGAAGGGGTTCGAACCCCGCAAAAAAATATTTTAGCACCTAAATCTTTTATTTTTTTTCTGGATTATTTTTTGTCAGTTCTTTGTGACGTAAGGTATCTCCCTCTTAATTTTGAAGTCGTTCAGTTCAGCCAAAACGAAATGATAAATCTTCAAAGATGGCGGTGTCAAAACTTGCTTGCCCACTCACTACTTTGTTTTCTCTTTTTTCACTTTTTGTTTTTCCTTTATTTCGAGATATGAAAAAATATATTATTTTCTGAAACTTTATTTGTAGATTCTTTATTATGTAAGATACACATATATAAATTTTCATAGCATTTTTCATAGGCAAAAAAAAAAAAAATCGCTAAAGATGGTGATGTAAAAACCGTGCTCGCCCACTCAATATCTTCATTCTCGTTTTATTTTTTCTAATTTTTATTATTATTATTTATTTTTGGTATTCGATTTTATTTCAAATTTGGTAAAGAATTTGGATGTAACGTTGGGGAAATATTGTTTAGTTTATTTTTTTGCATAACATATAGTTTTTCCAGATTTTTTAGAATCCTTTTTCTTTTTTTTTCGGGGGGGGTGGTGTCCACGTTCGGCCGAACGGCCGAACGTGTCGAGAGGGGGTGCCGAACGTTCGGGCGTTCGGGTTCGAGCGTTCGGGTTCGAGCGTTCGACCGGTCCCGAACGCCGGCAACCCGGTATATACCGGGTTGCCAGCGTTCAGGACTGGCCGAGCGCCCGAACCCGAACGCCCGAACGTACGGGACCCCTTCGGAAGG